TTATACTAAAGATAAAACTCTAAAATATTCATAATTTATTAATGAGAACATTGTGGCCGTAATTGTTTAGCAACAACATCTTTTATGTCTACATCAATATCTGTTCTGGCAAGTCTAATTATATCTTCAATGGTAAAATCTTTTAAACTGTTTCTATATTTTGACTTTATATATTTCATATCGGAGTATGCACGCTCGCAGATGTATGTACTTTAAAATCTCTCAATTTTGGATATTTCTAGCCATCCCCTATGTCATAATTATTTATTTTCCCTTGTTCCTTAGGTTCAAAAAAAAATTAGTAGAAAAAGCTCAACAAAAATTGCACGAGATTAAGAAAAAGTTCTACAATGCCGACGAGAGCGACGTTGTGTTTGTTGGAATGCACTACAGAGGAACAGATATGATTAAAATGATGAGACGAGAACTAAAAGATAAGTTTTTTGTAAGTTGATCTGAAAACTGACATTTTATTAATACTTGGGACATTTGGTCATTCTTTTAAATACAACAATCTTTTTTAAATAAATTGTTGCGGTGGTTTCTACCGGGCTGCTTTACCGTTGTCCATGGAGTTTCATGACGATTCTCCGTTCTTCCTGACGGTATTTTCAGTAGTGATTTGGCTGGGTCGTAACTGATGCGGTTTGTGACTTTTTTATATTGGAGTCGTCACAGGGAATGGGTTTCTGCTTCGTAGGGTCCATGCTGTCTTGTTTGTTTAGCTATTTTTCATTACATATTTTCAAGCTTTACTTATATGTAACCCATCATCTCTGTCTATGTTATTGGGACATTGTTCTATTTCTAAAGCTTCACGTCTACCCAGGTTGTAGAAACCCGAAGTCTTAACCAGTAATCTACTGTTCGTTTCAAGAAGTTAGAGATATGCCCCTTCCCTTCATTAGGATGCGCCGTAGCATAATTCCAAATTCAATCATATTTGTCTGCGGAGCTCATTTCCCCACACATCATCGAGCGAGAACTAGACAAAAGTGTACAGTACCATTTGCAAAATTATTTAAACTGCCTCGTTAAGATTTAAGAATATGCTTTATTTAAAAGCATATTTAGCCAAAACTAATAACAAGTGAATTAACATAACGTTCTACACACCTATAAAACTTTTGCTTTGTTTTCTATTGTTAATTTATATACATTTTTGTTTTAAGAAATTGCTAAACATTTTTGTCTACTACTGTACAGTTCTAGCCGATCTCCTAAGACCGCCCATCGAGAACTCTGCTCGTTCCAGCTTGTTCCAACTATTTCTGTCTTGCTCACGTCTAGTGTGTATTCTTTCTATCTTCGCGCAGATTTCTTCAAGGCCACAATTCTTACAAGTTGAAATGGACTGTAATTGCTTGTTCGTGGTCTTTCTTTCTCGTAAGTATGCTACGTTGTATCATCCCAATATAGACCTTTCTGCATTCACATGGTAAATGATAAATCATTGGTAGCGGATCAAGTGGACCCTTAAATTGGTCGTAGTTCGTCTTAAAGTTGCCCATAGGTAGAAATGATGTTTCAATTAGCTTTTTTCGGTGTCTCTTTGCTATCCTTTCCCTGTTGTTTCTAATGTATGGAAAACACGTTCTGTTTTTGACGTGACAACGTCTTATAATTCGATGCAGCCCGCTGCACGCACGAAAAAAACGTGACTCATGCGGCGTTACCTCGCTCTGAGGCGTTCCATTTAAGGCTTGAAGTGCAAGCGAGAGCGCGGAACGAGCGACAAAGAGGCACAATCGGCCTCCGCGTTCGGCAGCGTTCGACATCTGTCTCTCTCCTACTTGAGTGAGCGATGCGTCCGCGTGGACAGCTGCTATACAATAATACATTTCCATTTACCTCCTTCTCTATATCCATACAAAATATCTATCAAACAAATAAAATTAAAATTTTCTTTTGAAAAATGAAACCATTCCATCAGTATTTTCTTATGACGTTGTCACGTTCAACTATCGTCAGTAAACCGACTTTACAGACAACCGATTTTTTTACCTCATCATATGAGGCGGTGATATTTAGGATGTATTACCTTCCGTATTTCATTGTGGCTGTAACCATTTGCTTCTTGGGGCTTCCGTGGATGGTCTAATTCTGGCTGTAAACCTTCCTTGTGCAATGGTTTTTTGCCCTGTTCACTTGTGTTTTGATGACGATTCTTTTCTTGATATGGTGCTTGAAAGCAGCGTTGAGATATTCCTGTAGATACCATGAGCCGTTTTGTTTTTGTTCTATACACGACAACGTTAAGGAATGCGATCTGTCCCATCTTATCTCGTTTCTTTGTGAAATGAATGTTTAGGTCTTGGTTATTCAGGTGACCTACAAAATTATTCAGCTTTTCTTCTCTATGGAGCAAGACTACGAAGATATCATCCACAAACCGATACAAGTGAGTTGATTTATGTTGTAGCTTTTCTAAGGCAGCCCGGAAGAAATCACCACATCAAAATAGGCTAGCTATGAAAGCTTAAAGACTATTTTGTATAAAGTTTAATCAGTGCGTTGTATGAAGTAATGTAAATCGACTGTCACATTATACCCTGATAACACAAGAAGTTCTCTCATGATTTATTGTTTCTGATGTGTAACATCTTTCCGCTTTGTGTGTCCGTATGAGGAACTAAGGGAGTGATTTCGTGAATGCGACGGAAACGTGTAACAGGAAGTTAGGGAGCGGGAAGCGCACCTTATTCAATATCGGAGCCTACCTATCAACCGGCCGATACCGATCTATTAACATTGATTTTGAACAAAACGACCTACTGCCGTGTAGCTTACGTTGTGAAAATAATATATAACAGGTCAATTGAAAAGTCCCCGGCCTAAAATAGTAAAACACATTTTTTTTGCAAAATTCGTTTTTTTTATTCAATATAATTCCCTTCAAGGGTGATACACTGATTATAGCGATCCTCCAACTTTTCGATACCATTTTTGTAGTACGATTTGTCCTTTGCTTCAAAATAGGCCTCAGTTTCGGCGATCACCTCTTCATTCGACGAAAATTTTTTCCCAACGAGCATTCTTTTGAGATCTGAGAACAGGAAGTAGTCGCTGGGGGCCAGATCTGGAGAATACGGTGGATGCGGAAGCAATTCGAAGCCCAATTCATGAATTTTTGCCATCGTTTTCACTGACTTGTGAGACGGTGCATTGTCTTGGTGAAGCAGGACTTTCTTTTTCTGCAAATGCGGTCGTTTCTCGGCGATTTCGTCCTTCAAACGGTCCAATAACGCTATGTAATAGTCGCTGTTGATGGTCCTTCCTTTTTCAAGGTAGTCAATGAAAATTATTCCACGCGCATCCCAAAATACAGACGCCATAACCTTGCCAGCCGACTGTTGCGTTTTTGCACGCTTTGGAGCGGGTTCATCGTGTGCAGTCCACTCCGATGACTGTCGATTGGACTTCGGAGTGAAATGATGGAGCCATGTTTCATCCATTGTCACATATCGACGCAAAAACTCGGGTTTATTACGCGTGATCATCTTCAAACACTGCTCTGAATCATCAACTCGTCGTTGTTTTTGGTCAAAAGTGAGCTCGCGCGGCACCCACTTTGCACAGAGCTTTCTCATACCCAAATATTCGTGAATGATGTGATGTATACGTTCCGTTGATATCTGTAGAGTGTCTGCTATTTCATTCAATTTCAATTTACGGTCATTCAAAATCATTTTGTGGATTTTTTTAATGTTTTCGTCCGTAACAGCCTCTTTTGGGCGTCCACTGCGTTCACCGTCTTCGGTGCTCATTTCACCACGTCTAAACTTAGCATACCAATCCTTGATGGTTGATTTTCCTGGGGCAGTGTCCGGAAATTCGTTATCAAGCCAAGTTTTTGCTTCAACTGTATTTTTTCCCTTCAAAAAGCAATATTTTATCAACACGCGAAATTCCTTTTTATCCATTTTTTTCACAATAACAAAAGTTGCTTCACTAAAAATGCTATAATTCACAAACTAATGATCCGACAGCCGTCAAATTTATAGACGCGTCTTTTGAAGGTTAGGACTAACTGAAAATCATATGGAGTTAGTTCTGGTGCTGCCATCTATGTGTCTGGCCGGGGACTTTTCAATTGACCTTAGTACATAGTGGCGCATTTAAATTTTCCACTTAGAAGAATAATGTAATAACAAAAAATTGAAATATCGATTTAGTGTATTAGAATTCAACAGATACATAGTCGGCGCTTCATAGATTTTTTTTTTGGAAAATGGCGCCAATTTTCACTATTATTTCGTTATTATTAACATGATAGTTGTCAGCTGAATATAAACATGAACATATGTACATAGTGTATGTAGTATTTCACATTAATTCTTATATAGGTAGCTGTTTACAGCTGCAGCTTTCATGATTGATTTAAATTCATACTTCAGAATCTAACGATAGTAATCATTTTTTTTTAATTTATTAGTTCTTATGGTATACCGCGGCCACTTTTACTTCAATCAGTACTTTTTAAATAAATAAATAAATATGAAAAATATTTCTCGCTATATTACCGCATACCTGTACAAAATTGTAAAACTTAATTAATATCAATTACTAGCTTTTCCCCGCGCGACTTCGCTCGCAGAAATTAATATTGTTTCTTCATAAATCCCCAATTCACCCTTACAACGTTTTAATTTTATGTAATGTAGCCATCTTAGATTTCAAATACAAACGTAGCAACAACGTTTCATCCTTAAGGGTTGATTTTTAAAAATTGCCAAAACACGTATTTGCTTAATTTCAACAATGAGCAACCTTCGAATAAATTTGAATACAAATAAAATATACCTCATGGAAACATTGTAACCTCTTTTCATTTGATTAATAATATCAAACAGCTTCAAGTAAATTCAACTATAAATAAAGTATGTTCTAAACAAAAATTGCACCACCTTTTTGCCTCCCTCCTTTAGAGGTTGAATTTTTTAAAATGTCGAGATAGGTCTTTCGGAAATTAAATCAGAGACCATTAAGACCAAGTTTCAAGTAAATCTGATCACAAATAATACATGTTCCATTTACCAAAAACAAACATGCAATCTTTCAGCTTGCTAAAGAGGAAGAATTTTGTAAAATGTTTAAATAGGTACCACGTTTTTTTTTCCATGGCAACGGAATAAAAAGTATCCTATGCCCGTTTCCTGGTTGTAAGCTACCTTCCCACCAATTTTCAGCCAAATCGGTTCAGCCGTTATCTTAAAAAATGATTGACTAAAACTGCTTTATATTAGTTTATTATTTACACTTTAACAACTACAATTATTAACTCCTTTAACTATTGAAACTAACGGCTATCTTTACACTATGTGCTTGATATAACCTCTCTACAGGAACTGTCCTAAAAACTTGTTTGATTTTAAAACTACTCCCAGATGTTACCTTTTTCTTGAAAGGTGACAATATCGACCTCCTGCCGACACGAGTTCTTAC